ACGGAAAAGACCTAAATATAATAGCTAACCTGTATTGGAATCAATCAACCATTGGAATATACAGATCGGGTCAAAATCTTAAGAGGAGTGAGACAAGGACGTATAATTTCACCACTGATATTTAATCTATACTCGATTAACATTTTTGAAGAGGCTCTAAAATATATTGATGAATGCATCTCAATAAATGGAGTCAAGCTCAATAACCTGCGGTATGCAGATGATACAATAGTGTTTTCCATTACCATAGAAGGGCTAAAAAATTTAATAAACAAAATAACGGAAACAAGTAGAAAATATGGACTCGATATAAACATCAGAAAAACTAAGCTAATGATCATAAGCAAGGAAAACATAACTGGAGCAAATCTGTATGTGAACCAAATGAGAATTGAACGAGTCTCACAGTACAACTACTTGGGAACTATAATCAATGAGTCGTGGGACAATACCCAAAAGATTAAATGTCGCATCGGAAAGGCAAAAGTGCATTCTTGACTATGAGTTCTGTGTTCAAGAGCCATGACTTAACCCTAGAAACAAAAATAAGGTTCCTTAAATGTTATGTGTATAACATGTTATATTCAGTGCTTCTGCACAGAGTAGAAACGTGGACATTGAAGGCGAAAACTCTATCAAAACTTCAGGCTTTTGAGCTAGGGTCATACAGAAGGATCTTGAAGACACCATGGACAAACAAAGTCACCAATGAAGAAGTACTGCGGAGAATGAACACAACTGCGGATTTGGTCAACATCGTGAAGGGTCGTAAGCTGCAATACTTGGGACATATAATGAGAAATCATGGCAGATACGAACTACTTCAATGTATTTTACAAGGTAAAATTTAAGAGAAAAGGTCCCCAGGACAAAGAAAAATATCCTGGCTTGCTAACCTGAGAGCATTGTATAGAAAGAACTCAACACAGCTATTTCGTATAGCAACCAACAAAGTCATCATAGCCAGAATGATCGCCAACGTTCGGAACGGACAGGCACCGTAAGTAAAAGAAGAAGCTTACAGCTAGCTCATATTTTTATAAGGTTTATCTACTATAGTAACAGAAATGACGGAGACAAGTTAATCACCCTATATTTAATATGGAAGTATATCTCACCTTTATTCGGCCAACATTTTTCCATTAGCTCCTTTACAAAAAACGTGGCATTTGCTATTGATTTGTTTGTAAATAAAGTCAAACCAAATTTCCATTGCTTCACATATTCGTTTATTTACCATTATCAGATTTACAAAAGTTTGAAAGTTTATTGGCCTATTTTTTCATTTGGCCATGCGAAATACAAAAGTACATTACGTGAACTATACCAAGCATAAGTAAACATTACATATATCATTACATATCTAAGCAGGAAATGACACACATCATCATTTTATTGTCACGGTCTGCTCGACTGCTTTGTTAATAATAAAGGAAAATATATTTGAGAATATATTTAGAAGATTTCAGGGTCAATACTTGATGAGTGAAAGTGATGATCCTGAAAGAATAATATCCCTATTTGTGGAATTAATAGTATCCTGCCCTTATGTTATGAGTGTGGGAAATGCTTTAAGATATAAATACCTATTGTTAAAGTTCACTCAAGGACATAGTCATCTACAATCGAGATCCAAAACAGTAGACAGTGATTCAACACCGTAGTTATTAACCTATAAGGGAAACATAACGAGGAGAAAGTTTTTGTTCATAAAGTAAAAATATTATTTTCTATAGCTGAGGGTGTGAAGCTTTAACTGAAATTTACACTTATTTTAAATTTGTTAAAACTTTTAAAAAACTTCAAAAAGGTTTCATTATATTTATTTAACACTTTCGACCCCACTTTTTTTTCTTCTCACCAAGAAATAATATTTATCGTTTGGTCATATAATGCGGTTCTACGGATACACATCGATCATATCAATATTGTACAGTTTTTAAATAAAGCGAGCGGTTCGAATTTATCTAAATATATTTATTTATAAGTTTACAGTTCGGTAATATCATATCAACTAATTTTAACTCATAAAAGGTATGCTTATATACAAAAGTTATTATGTACTAGAATATTCTGGCATAGTCCACCTCTAATTCGTTTGCTTGACGGGTCGAACTCTCCAGCGGTCGACAGTTAATGTCGCTTCTAGAAGGACAAATCATTCTCGTCCCGGGTTGTAACCGTTATATGGTCTACGTACAATGCATGTTCGTAATACTGCTTCCCTCTTAGATCTGAGCGTCCCGATCAGCAACTCCATATGTAGGCCCAGGATGGCGGAATCTAAAGGACTTTTCAGCTCTGCATGAATCCCTCAAGAAGAAATAACATTTTACTGACTTTGAAGGACACGATCTCTTCGGATTAATGCAACACACAGTAATGCGTACGCCGGTTTCTCGGAAGATCACTTCAAGCATTCTTCTGACAATCTTCCAGTCCAGATTTTCTAGTGCATGGACTATCTTGGGTAAGGCCAAATTCTTGATTTTATAATTGCACACAATTTTCTTCAAATTAGTTAGATCACGCCATATATCCTCGTAGGTTGACATGTCTGTATACGACTTCCTTGTCACCATATACAGCAGAGATCGGGGACCATCTTCTAATCTCAGTACTCTTTCAACTTTAGGCTGCTGATTTTTTAACTCTTCTAAACGACCGAACTTCTTATAAAATATGGATGAGATTCCTTTAGTCGTCTCAAGTCAAGATCTTGGGTAACACAGTGGGCTAGAGAAACGTTATGCGGAACACTAAAAAGATCCTGCTGAACTTCTGTGGTCACGCCTAATCTAGCACTCTTTCTCTCTACATAATTTGACATAAATTCATTAAAGCTTTGTCGCCGGTCATATTTGATCTCATGTTGAAGGGTTCGGGCTTCTTCTATTTCATTTGAGCCATCATAAGGTACAAGACGATTTATGTGAACTACTTTTGGTTTACCTTTAGGCAATTTCTTAATTCGGTATATTACGTCATATATTCTCTTTTTAATTTTCTTCCTTGTTCATCACTTACAGCCTCCAAATTCTCAGGAAAATTGTTCAGGTGTGGCTGGAGAAAATGTACTTTTAGGCTCATGACACAACCTCTTGAAACGACTTTAACATTCTTGTGACTATATTTTTGTAATCAGAATCTTATTGTTGCCCAAAAATATTTCCACATAACAAATAAGAACCATCTTTCTCTCTGGAGATCTGTCGTGGTGTTGGCAAACTCTTGATATGCTAGAAGTCTCCTGGTATCTGGCCTAACAAAAATAAGTTCCTTCAGTTTCGTCTCCGTGAGCTGTAAACTTTTTTACCAAGTATTTGAAACATTCTTTATCTTTTGAAAGAAATTTGACAAAGTCTTTCATAAGACTCAACTTTATGACGGTTAGAAAGTTGAATTTTTTCTTGAAGTGGTTAGAAAGGTGAATTTTTCTTGAGGTACCAAGTGTTCTGGCAGAGCATTGTTTTATCCAAGCGGAAGCGTCCTTGTATCGCCAACTTTAAAGTTACACTTTACCTTTAAAATTCATTTTGATGTTTGTCGGTAGCACCGTCGAATAAAAGGATATCGAGTTTTTTACCGTCGAGTTAATACAAATTTTATTTAAAAAATTTATTTTTTGCGCGTAACTAACATTTATAATTACCGGTCGTTTCAAGCGTTGTTTCTGAGTGAACGCTTTATTCTACTAAATAAGTGCTAATAAACATTAAACAATCAAATTATCAATATACAGTCCATTTTAGAGCCTATAACAACGCATGGCTCAGAGTGTTAGCAACTTAGCAAGACCAATAAGGAAAAAATTGAGGCACTGGAAATGGAATTTCTCAGAAGAGCGAGCAGAAAAACAAAGCATCAAAACTGGAACATATAATAAATCAAGACGTTACACAACAGATGGGAGTAACAGAAAAGATCACCGATAACGATCACACGATCACGAATAACCAGGCAGCTTATATGGTATGGGCACGTGGAAAGAATGAATCACAATAGATGGTTCAACAAAGCATTAAAATATCTTCCTGAAAATAAAAGAAAGCACGGACGACAAAAAATAACATCTTGTGCAACACAGCGGCAACACAGTTCCATTTCTCAGAAGAGCGAAGAGAAAATCAAAGCATCAAAGCTGGAACATATAATAAATCAAGGCGTTACACAACAGATGGGAGTAACAGAAAAGATCACTGATAGAATAATAACCAGACAGCTTATATGGTATGAACACGTGGAAAGAATGAATCTCAATAGACGGTTCAACAAAGCGTTAGAAGAAAACACGGATGACAAAAAATAACATGAAAAAAAAGGAATCGAAGATGCAATGATAGAAAGAAACCTTGTAGAAAACGATTGGCAGAACTAAGATAGGATGAAAGTTGAAATGCAAGATGGAGCAGTAGCTGTGGAACCTCGTACAATGTTAACAAACACAATATTTTTCGCCGAAAATTTTATTATTGATCATTTTCATTTGAAAAATTATATTTTATCCAATCTATTGTTTAGGGCACAATAGAATTAGTGTGTCCATTTTGACTACATTAGCATAGTTTAAAATACTAAGTACTCATATTAAGCTATTTATAGGAAGTCAATGGTTAACAAATCTTCCCACTACCAATTCAAATAAATACCTACATAAAACTTAATGAATACTGTGTAATTCCAGCTATCATTGCCAATCAGAAGGAACTAATAATAGATCGGTTTAATAGAATTGGCGTTAATTAGGGGGCTGTTTTTTATAATTATCTTTTTATAATATTTTTATTTTCGATACTTATTTGGTTCTGGTTTAAAATTAACCACAAAAGCGGGCGCCCCTTTAATCATAAAAAATTGACAAAAATATAAAAATATTTGGTAAGGTAAATGGTTAGGTTATTATCCCAAGAACGAAAAATTACTGGCAAGAGGCAATATTCTATACGGACTCCTGAGCATCCTTATAACTTATAACGTAAATAAAAAGTAAGTAAACATACCTTAAATATATCAAATATGCGTTGAATAACTAGCAGTTACATCTTCCAAAATGTTCTAATATAAAGGTTTGAATGTTGAAGTACGCCAAGCTTAGACCAATACCTAAAAAAAATCGACGATTAGAAAAGTAATGAATTCAAACAAAGTTGTCATATAATTTTGCACCAAAAGAATAACAAGAAAAAAACATAATATTATCGAATTAGTACTACTAATACATTAAACGCAAAAATTTTCAATCCACTTATTTTAGTTCAGGTTTGCTTACATTATTTGATTCATATAATATATCTCTGTTTATTAATTATAAAATCAGATATATCTAACCTGTAGTTCATCCTTAAAATTTTTCTTTTTTTTTTATTTTTTGAAATTTTTTTCAGAGTACAGATTTTTTTAAAATGTTATCATCTCGAATGGTAATTTTGAATTTTGGTTCCAATGACACTGACACATTTTAGACAAATTGTCACCCATTTATAAGTCGCAAAAAAACCACTCAAAAATCCCTACCTCTCACTCCTCTCAGTACTAATAGCTCAAATAAACTTACTGTTGCAGACTTCTTTCATTGTAAAAAGAAGAAGAATCATGAATAATGTATATATACATTAATTTTCATTAAAACATTCCATTTGTAAGTACTAGACTATAAAGTTTCAAAAATATACTTTTGTTTTAATTGATACAGTTTTATTTTGTTAATAAACTGCATGTGAATATTTTTTTGTTTAAATATTGGTTATAAGCACGTATGCTTTGTTGTATACATCGAGCAATAAGACAAAAGAGGGAATGTAAAGGTAGTGGGGGTAAACATATTGATAGACAGGAAGTGCCATCTTGAGAGGCCACTTTAGACAAGGATAGACAGTCTCTTTCCTTGTTTAAGAAGTCAAATTTAGTTAGGTTATGTTATTGTTTGTCCCAACTGTCACATGAAATTTTATTTATATTGAAATCTTTTACCTATTGTGTCACTTTTTAGACTATTATCGTTAATATTTAATTAAAACTTTCTTGTCTGAAAAATATTTTACAGCTATTGTTAACAAGTGTTGGAAAATTTAAATTTAGCGCCTTTGCATTTCCGGATATGTCCGCCATCAGAGGCCACTTTTTTGGTCTCCTTTTCATAACGATTAGATTCCCTCTTTTATCTTTTTGCTCGATGGTTGTATACTAATGTTCAGCCACTGTCAGTCGGTAAAAATTTAACCAATGTAGCAAAAAATAATTACAAATACTATAGGAGAGTATCTAAATTGTAGGCACTAAATTCTGAGAAATAATAATTAAGTTTTAACGACAGCACTGTGGTCAGATTGCGATTATAGATAATTTATCAATTTTTATGCAACCAAAAGTCGACTGTGTAACTCAACCAAATACCACGTAAGACCTGGTGCACACTTAACCGCATCAGAACTCAACATGGTTGATGTGCAGATATGTTGCACAAATGGGGCAAGCTACCATCATTGTCATGCAGCTGCGACGATGCAATCTATCAAGCACATAACGGAGGAGTGTCACCAGCGAGCCTACGGGGGCAGTTTGCCTATAAACTTGGCATGATTTAAGTATTTTAATATCGAGGAGTAACCTGTAACCTCTAGAGAGCGCGTCCCCAGGTGGCGGATAGGGGAATGCCCGACCCGGTTTACCGGTGGGTAGTAGGGAAATAAAATACCTCCCGTGGACCAACAGGTAATTCACCGAATGATTGCCGGTATAAGCAATCCCCCACTTATGACCAACGGCTGCGGGCGAATGAAGCGAAGTGAAAGGGCACTCTTTTGTCCAAGGTTTGGGAAACTGGTCCTAAAGGCGGATGAATCGAAAAATAGGTCAACGGCCTAAGGATGCAGAAGGCAACGAGAAACCACTGCATTAAAGACTCACAGAGTACCCCTAGTAAAGTCATGAATGGCAAATGACAAGTAGAGTAAACAAACTTACTGATTATGGAGCACGAAATCCAAGATCCGGCAGGTGAGAAATAACTGTAGATCACAGGGCCTCCCAGGTCGTAAACCAGAGAAATCCTTGTACACTTAAGACATTGAAAATAGCAACCTGGAATGTCAGAAGTCTCTACCACCGCAAGTGGTAGAGACATTAGAATCATATGTAATCTCTATTGGAACCAAACAGCAAAAGTGAAAGTTGAAAATGAACTGACCGAGGATATCCAGATTTGCCGTGGGGTGCGCCAAGGGTGTATTTTATCACTCTTGTTATTCAATTTATACAGTAAAGTCATTTCAGAATTAGCGCTTGCCGAGGTCAGTGAGGACCTTATAATAAACGGTGAGCCACTTAATAACATAAGATATGCTGACGACACCGTCCTTCTGACAGGAACACTGGAAGAACTGCAACACCTTGCTGAATAACTAAATATATATTGCAACGATTTTGGACTAAAAATAAATTTGAAGAAAACCAAGTTTATGATATTAACAAAAGCACAAAACATCAAAGTTAAGCTAGTACTAGATAATACAGAAAGTGAACAAAAACTTCGGAGCATTAATCACAGAAAATACTGACCAGACAAACGAAATAAGAATCCGCATTGAAATTGCACAGTCAACTTTTAATAGAATGAGAAAACTTTTTTGTAATCGCGATATCAATATATCGCTCCGGATAAGAATGCTTCGATGTTATATTATTTTCTCTACCCTTTTGTATGAAGTTGAAGCTTACACACTTAAAAAATCCAACATTAAAAACCTAGAAGTATTCGAAATGTGGTGTTACCGACGTATTTTGAAAATATCATGGATGGATCGCAAAAAAAAACGAACAAGTTCTCGAACAACTAGGAAAACAATGCGAAGTTTTAAATTCCATAAAAATCAGGAAATTGGAATACTTGGGGCACATCATGAGAGAGAAAAAAAACGAACTATTAAGGAACATAATGCAGGGTAAAATCAAAGGCAGAAGAAGTGTAGGAAGACGTAAAATCCCGTGAATGGTTTGGATGCAGTTCAATTGAACTATTCAGGCGCGTAACCAACAAAATTATAATTGCCAGAATGACTTCCAATCTCCGATAGGAGGGGAACTTGAAGAAGAAAAAGAATATCGAGTAAATTTTAACATTTATTGTAATGTTTATTGTAATCTTGTAAATAAAAATAAATAAATATTAATTTTTATATTAATAATTCACATACAGTCAAATAAGGGACTTGTTAAAGTACCTAATAAAACATGACAATGCTGTTCAGTAGAAAATAACAGTGGCTAATCGAAGCGGTAAGTTGGAGAGACATTATGGACGTTCATCTGACACTCAGTAGCGCATCGTTTATGTTGGTAAGTGAATTTTAAAACTTCGTCAAGCTTATTTAGCTTTTAAAAATCATTAAAGTATGTAGGAGTTATAGAAGACGTAAGTATTTTAATTTGACAATGTACGTAAAGAAAATTAACTTACTTATAATTATATGAGGCAATATTAACAAAGTATTTCGACATTCACAAAAGGTCAAAACATTAACTATCGTCTGAAGAAAACTCGTCGAATGATGAACTATTGAAATCACTATTAGTCACATTGATAATTAAACGTTCAACGGAAACATCTACTCTAGTGTCTAGATCCCCCATTCTGTTTTCTTCTTTTCTAGTATGTGTAGTGCAGTTTTTTCATAAGTGTCGCGTGACGTTTTCTACAGCAGTAGACCTTTCACATCATCCATTTTAAAAGTTAAGTTTTTCCTTGCTACTTGATTTTTTATTTTGAGCCCGTATAAGTTCGATAGAGCTAAGCTCACAATTATTATAAGGAGAGAGGCGCAAAACAATTAGGTTCTTTGCACGAACTATTTCGTCGACAACATAATTCTTGTATTCGGGTATATGTCTCCTTGCAATAATTCTACTTTCAACATGATGTCATCGAATGATATATCTCTTTGAAAGAGCCAGTTCATCATGTCAGATTTCCGCTAAGCAGTTGTTGGTGACAGCCCCAACTGTCGACTATGGTAAGATGCATTGTCAATAACGACGACAAAATTGGGTTCAAGGTTTAACAAAATCTTTAAAATCTTTCAAATTTTTGGGCATCCATTTCTTTATGACAGTCATTGGTTTTCTTGAATTCAAAGAGTAACAAGCCGTTGTCCCAAAAACCCAACTCAGTCCTATGTGTGTTAAAATGAGTCCCTGTTCTATGCTCGCTGGTGTTTTAAAACCAGATGATAACCCTTCAATAAAGACTTTCCGACGGTTTCTAACTTCAAAACCTTGTCACACCTTCGAGACAGTATGGCGTTGATTTAGCCAAGTATCGTCTAAATAGTAGATTTTTCTTCATTTACAACGATAGTCTAGAATTTATTTAAGGTAATATCTCAGCCACAAAATAAGGTCCTCTCTTTCTATAAGAATACAGTTTCTACTTTTAATATATTTAATATTCCTTTGTCTTATTGTTCGCAATACACGTCATGGCATTTTGGGTATCAAATCATAGAAATCTATTGTGGCTGCAACTTTTTTTAAGTTTGAAATTTCATTTCGGAAAAAGAATGAATGAAATTTTCTCCAAATAGCATACTTAATAACCTCTTCAAGCTCAATATGTTTCTTTCCTCGTTCCTAATTTTTTCAACAGGCGTACCCTACTTACCTTCACGTTGTTTGAATTTTTTAGAATAACGTACCCTTCTCGTAGACGCTTTAGTCAAATCGCTACATATAGTTACAATGTCATTGACCAACATATTTTCATTCCTTTCACAAAGTCGATAATACACGTTGTATATAATAGTTTATTTACCTTCCGAAAAATTTTGCTGGCGACGTTCACTTTGAAGATTTTCAACTTTTATGTTTGTTAGAACTCTTTAAAAATGTATTAAACGCGTCAGGTTACCTATAGTACTGATGTATTTCAGCAATAGCAGCAAGAAAGGGCGTTGTCAATAAACCAGTTATTGATAAACAATATAATGGGAATTCCCAAACATTTAAAAAAGTGAAATTATGTGTGGTAGCAAACTAACGCATCTATTGTTAGGACCATAGATATATTAAACTGTTTTTATTTATCTAATTAATTGTCTTTATTTATTATA